CCCCTGCTCCAAAGCATTTACCTGCATGTGTGTGTTTCTGTGGTGTTTCTACTTGTTATTTGAGTTGGCTTTTCGTTATTGTTTGGAAGTTTCCTTTCTGAAGCCCTTTCCAAAGCAGTGGATTGACAGTAAGCCTGCAGTGCTCATTCACCCCTCCAATTTTCCGTAGGTGTGAAACAAGCTTGCTGTGAGTTTCTAGAAAGCCAACTGGATCCATCAAATTGTTTGGGCATTCGGGATTTTGCTGAGACACACAATTGTGTGGATCTAATGCAAGCTGCAGAGGTCTTCAGCCAGAAACATTTTCCAGAGGTGGTTCAGCATGAAGAGTTTATCCTTTTAAATCAAGAAGAGGTTGAAAAGCTCATCAAGTGTGATGAAATTCAGGTAAAACCTGAAAAGTACCATTACTGTGCAAAGAGTTGAAGTAAAACGTTGAAAGCAGTCAGTAATTGGTCCATACTCCTGGGATGGACTTCTCACACAGTTCCTAATTTGAAATAAAATTCTCAACAAGTTCTAATTTCTTTTGCTAATTGTAATTGATCAATAACATGTAATTCCTCTGTAAGAATTCATTGTCACACAAGTGTTTCTTGCAAGTTAATCACAGTGAGCTCCCTCTGCAGAGTTCTTGGTACTTTGTTCCCTCCTTTCCCTGGAGAAGACAAGTTGTCTCAATCCCTGCATTCCAGAAATACCCCCAAGCTTTAACTTCTGTTTGCTGCTGCTCAGCAGCACAAGGAATGAATGCCTGTGCCATCCCCAGGGTGGTCTGACTCTGCAGGCAGTTAGTTCCCAAATTTCAGTTCCATCGAGGTGGGTTTCTGGAGGATTTCCTTTTTGACTGGAACACGTCAAGTACGTTTTTCCAACTTCTCTATGAGTAAGTTCAGCACTCCCTGGTAATGAGGGCAGGGCATGATTATTTATGTCAAGAGCTGATGTTCACTGTAGTTGATGGGCTTGAAGTAATCCCTGCTCACTGTTCAGAGGAACAGGAACTCTTGGAAGCAACCCAATGTAATGGTTATCTTTGGTGGGATTCCTAAAAAGCCAATACGGGGTGCGGGGGGAGCCACAGGAGAATTGTTGGTGCATGTGTTGAAAGTGGCCTTCAGCCACACCAAAATCCTCTTGCTAATGAGGCTGCTTGAGAAAGGGCACGTGAGACAGCAGGGAACAAGTGGGCTCCAGTTGGGATCAGCAGCAGGATCAGCAGTGGGATCAGCAGTGGAGAAGGCTGGGTGTGGTTGGTGTTTAAGCTGCAGCTCAATGCTGTGAGGGGCTGAGCTGGTGTGGACTGGGGTGATCCTGACAGCAGCTTCAGGCAGGGACTGGGAAATAATGATGAGGAGTTTCAGAATGAGTCAGCCCTGCAGAGTAACATTCCCTGTGGATTGGAAGGGCTGGCTCAGGCCTTGCAGGAGGCAGTGGGGTGTGCATGCACTGTCATACCTTCAGAAGATGTGACCAGCAGGGTGAGGGAGGGGATCCTCCCCCTCTTCTCTGTCCTTGTGGAACCTCAGCTGGAGCACCGTGTCCGGGTCTGGGGGCCTCAGCGCGAGAAAGCACCTCTAGAGCAGGTCCAGAGGGGGCCATGGAGATGTTCTGAGAGAGGGAGCCCCTCTGCTCTGGAGACAGGCTGGGAGAGCTGGGGGTGTTCAGCCTGGAGAAGAGAAGGCTCCAGAGAGCCCTGAGAGCCCCTTCCAGTGCCTGAAGGGGGCTTAGAGGAAGGAGGAAGAGCAAGGCCAGGTTGGACAGGGCTTGAAGCATCCTGGTCTAGTGAAGGTGTCCCTGCCCATGGCAGGGGGTGGAACAAGATGAGATTTAAGGTATTTTCCAGCTGAAATCCTTCTGGAATAAGGAACAAATCTCTCAAATCTCTCTCTTGCTGTGCCAGCACAGAGGTGCTGTGTGGAACCAGAGTGTGCTGAGGGAGCACCCTCAGAAAATCCCCAGGTTGTTCAAGAAGTGCCATGGCAGGTCCTCACTGCGGTGCTGCATTTAGTGTTACTCATCATTTATCAGAAAACAAATTATTTAATGAACAATAAAACTGTTAAATATATCTGAGGACACTCAGTTCAGGAGGGAATAAACCAATGCAGGGATTATTGCATTTAAGGAGGAGGTGGGGGAATTGGAAACAATACAGTGCTCTGCTCTCCTTTTGTGAGCTCTAATTGTCCTTTCCCTGTATTTCCAATAGAAAGAGGCCGTTCCAAATTACACTGTAACAAATATAAATCAATGGCCTGGAAGAATGGCCTTACATAATTAACCTCAGTGGCTCCCTGCTTCAGAACATTCTGCCTGACAGCTTCAAACTGGACTTCAAAGTGGGGGACCAGTCATAGACTGGTGAGGAGGCTCAGTCCTCTCATCACAAGCTCTCCTTTTATCTTCATAGTTAGTCTCAGTTAACAGACTTTGTGATAATAAATTCACGTCTGATTTGCTTTTACGTTGGATGGTCTGATAGATGTGCTAAAACAAAACCAAGCCTAAGTTATATATTGCAGAGATTTTTACAGTTCTTTTGCTTTTGGTAGTCATAGATGTCCACAGCACCTGAGGTTCCCCAACAGTATCAAATTCTGTCTCTAAATGGGGACAGAAATAAACTACTGATAAAATAAAATGAACAGTAGAAATAAACAGTAACATTCATGCCCTGGGGTTCTCCACTCAGAAATCCAATTGCTTGTGGTTTCTGAAAGGTGGATTGAAATACAAAAGTCCCTTAAATGTAGCTGGTCTGGCTGGGGTGTTTGAGGGGAGTCCATGGGCACAGGGCTGCTGGGGACTAAGCCAGGCACTGCTCTGTGCAAGGGAAACAGGGTTCTGATCGTCTCTGTAATGACTCTTTGTGTTTTGCAGGGCCACAGCTCCTGCTCCACAGAGAATTTGGGGAGCTGCCCTGTGAGTTCCTGCAGGTCAGTGAGTGGCAGCTCCAGGCTCTGCCGTACCACTCACTGCTCTGGCACTTGAGCTTCCCATCGCTGATCTCAGCCGTAGGGAAAAAAACAAATGCAGGTTCAAGGAAAAGAAAGTGAGGGAATTTCATGGTGCCTGTAATCACAGCTCATGGGGATCTCCCTAACAGACTCCTAGCTGCAGTGTCCCACTGCCTGGGTCGCTGTGGAGCAGTGTCAGCAGTCTGGACGTTCTCTGCTCTGTGGTGGTAGCTCCAGTGTTACCCTGCAGCCTGTCAGGATGTGCCTCCTCTTTCCAGGTGGACTCTGAAGAGCCCGTGTTCGAGGCAGTCATAAACTGGGTGAAGCACTCCAAGAAGGACCGAGAGGCGTCGCTGCCCGAGCTGCTGCAGTACGTGCGGATGCCGCTGCTCACCCCCCGCTACATCACGGACGTCATCGACACCGAGGTACGGGCACAGCTGGGAGCACTGCGTGTCCCTGGCTGGGCTGCTGCTGCCCACCAGAACATGTGCAGAGCTCTTTCTCTGCTGATGTCGTTTGATGCTGATGCTGTGGAGCTGTCACACTGAGCAGTGGTTTGCTGTGCCAGCAGCCACAGCATAGCACTCTGCAGCCAGAGGGTGCCCTGTCCAGAGCCATTAGTCAGCTGTCTGTGCTGATATATGCAGTACCTTTCTGCTGTCACCCGTTATAACCTCCAACAAGTGCTTTCTGCCTTCATTCCTAAGCGCTGGCAGCTCCCCTTGCCCAGGCTGAAGGTTGCTGGCACTGATCTCAGGGAGCACGTGGCTCCTCAGAAGGTGTCTGAGGTGCAGATGGCCAGCATGTACCTCTGAGAAGGACAGCAGCTGTGTGGACACAGGACCATGGATGTTCTCAAACCAGGGCAGCCAACAGGCAGTTAGGTTGTGCCAGAGCTGCAGGGTGTTCAGTCAGATTGTTATGGTCCGCTTCAGACTGAAATTGAAGTTAATGGAAAAGGGACTGGTACCAAAACCAACAGGTCTGTTCCAAATCCAGCCTGAGACGGTGTGTGCAGGCTCCCAGCTCCCTGAGAGTGAATGCAGAGAGTGACCTCTCCAGTCTGGCAGTGCCACACACTCGTGGGACATGCTCAGCCTGGGCTGGTGTGGAAAGTGGAGTATTGGCCCCCTGTGGGTTCTGAACACTCTGGCTGCCCTGCACAAAGACCAAGAACCTGTACAAATAAATCTAAGCTTATGGAAGCTGCATATACACCAAACACCCAAGGGCACCTGAGCATTCAGGAGAGGTTGGTCCAGGCCTTCAGCCAGACCTCACTGCTTCTGCTGCCTCTCCACAACTCCATGTTCCATGTGCAATAGGTCAGCTAAGCTGCTTCATCGTGCTCTGCTCCCTGTTTCTTCTCTGACATCAAGTGCAGGCCGAGTCATGTGGGGGCAGATCGAGGCAAACTGGTTTCCAGTGTGGTTTCATTGCCAGTTCCCCTGCTCAGACATCCTTCTGCCGGCTTAAATGTGGCAGAAGTGGCTTTTCCAGAGTTTTCCAGTGCAGTCATTTTCCTTATGGAACCTGCAGTGCCAGACTGTGAGAATCAAGCCCCATCTCCTCAGCTGCACTGGGGTCTGCAGTTACCTTTGTGCTTCCCTGCATGCAGTGTTTGCACCAGGACACTGCAGCCTGCACACCAAGTCCTGTTCGTGCTGTCTGAGCTGATAAGAGTTGGCTTTAGGACGCTTCTTCTGAGGTTTCCTAAAATACACTGCATGTGTACCAGTGACTCATGTTTCTCCCCAGCCTTTTATACGCTGCAGCCTCCAGTGCAGAGACCTCGTCGATGAAGCCAAGAAATTCCACCTTCGGCCCGAGCTCCGGAGCCAGATGCAAGGACCCAGGACACGAGCACGTCTGGGTGAGCAGCAGAGGAAAGGACACTGAGAGGGGCTGGGGCACTGGCAGGTGTTGTGTAAGACACCTTGTGTAGAGCCTTGTAGTTGTGCTGATGGGCTCACAGCAGTAACTCGTCATCCCATGGTCCCCAGTAGGACAGAGAGGGGGCTGGAGCAGAGGACAAAGGGGCCTTTTTTTTTCAGAGCATGATTTCTTAGTGCCAGTTGATTGCCTTTAATCCCAGGCCCTTGCTCTGACCATAAAACCAGTTTCCTGAGTTGCTGGTTCCTGCAGATATGTTTGACCAGTATGCAGCTGTCCAAGAAGTGTGGGAAGAGTTTATTCCTGTCTGAAAGCACAGCTATCAGTGTCCAAAGAGAGCTGTGAGGTGAGTGACAGCTGCCTTACAGTGCCAGCAGGTTTCCACAGGGAATTGGAGAGGGGAAGGCACAAGGAGGGAAATGGAAAGGTCCCTCTTTCCCTTTTTTTTTTTCCTCCCTAGCCTTGCTAAGGCAATAAATGATGACTTCTTCCTTTATTTCAGTAACTCCTACCAAGCACAGTCACTGAATTGTTGGGAAAATGCTTGGCTTAGGGCTGTGAGCGCTCAAGAGCAATATAAACAGTAGGAATGACCTACAGAAGAAGGAAAATTATTTTATTGGCTTCTGTCAGACTGTCTGTGCCATGCCTGTATCCCAGTGCACTCACATCAGTGCCAGAATGGACCACTCTTCCTGCTTGGAGCAATCTGGGCTAGTGGAAGGTGTCCCTGCCCATGGCAGGGGGTGGGATGAGATGAGCTTTAGGGTTCCTTCCAACCCAAACCATTCTGTGATTTTAGAAAGACACATTTCATTTTGTTCTTGGTTGAAATGCTTCACCTGATAAAAAGACATCACAAAACTGTTTTATTGTTTATTTGTACGGGTTAAAACTGAACCAAAGGTTCAGCCCTACCTGTTTTAAATTATTACCCACCATCTGATAGCAACAATGTGTCACTTATAAACTGTGATCAAGTTGTGCATTAACTTTGCATTGGAGGAACTGAAGTAATTGCACTTTTAGCTGTCTTACTGGACAGGAGGCTTTCCAAGGTGTTGAAGCTCTTTTGTGAATCCTTCCCAGTTAGTTTTTTGTATTATTCCTCATCTTTTGCTTTGTGACAGAGTTGTTAAGTGTTTGCTCCTTGGTGCTCAGTCCTATGAAAAGCTGGACAGTCCTAAACTCCAGTGATAAACTCCTGTTCCAGAAAGGGCCTGAGAGGCCCAGGGATATTCAGCTGTTCTACCCTGGTTCCAGGCAGTGGGTACAGGGGAGGTTAAAACCCTCCAGGTCACAGCTGTCATTTAACAACCATGGAGGAAATCAGAAAAATTCAGAGACCTTCTGAGAAGAAAGAAAGTAGGGGGAAGGCAACTTTGAAATAAAATACACAAGATTTAAGACACAATTCCTGAGAAAATACTTAATTAATTTTCCAAGCTTCTGACAGCCTGACTTGTTTCTCACTTAAGTGGGGAACAAAGTCCCCAAAATCAGGTGGGGATGTTACTTGCAGCTTAGGGGAGGCCCTGTGTTGTGAGGTGGCTGCAGGGAATCAGGCATTCTCCTCCAGATTCTATGGGGTGGTGAGAGGTTTGGGAAAAACAGTGGAAAGAACACAAAAAGAGATAGAAAGGAGCCAGCTTCAGCACCTGATTGAGCTGGCTTGTGTTCTCAAAGTGCCTCTGATGTTAGGAGGAACAGCTCTCCAGCAGTCAGCTCCTGACCCTCTCTCAGCCTCCTGCCACACACTCTGAAGAGCTTCTCCCTCCTCTTCCCCTCTGAGCACAGAGGGCTGCCAAGTGCCTGGAGCCAGGTTAGCTCCCTGCTCCAGAGCCGCGAGGAAAACAGGGATTTAGAGGCAGCTTTGCACCAGGGAAGGCTCAGTGTTTCTTCAGGTTGTTCCCCTGAGGTGACCCTTTGGCTGTGCAGGGATTGACTTGGCCTCTCTCTCCCCCTCTGCCCCAGGAGCCAATGAAGTGCTGCTCGTGATCGGCGGCTTCGGCAGCCAACAGTCCCCCATCGACGTGGTGGAGAAATACGACCCCAAGACCCAGGAGTGGAGTTTCCTGCCGGTAAGGGACGGGTTTGGACCACCCCTGGGCTGACCAGGCTGTGAGCAAACACTGATTCTGCAGCATCAGCTGGATAACAATCCTCTTTGGGGCTGTCCTGTGCAATCTGCTGAGGATTTCTGACAGAAATTCCTTACAGAGATTTACGTGGTGAATGCTGAAACCGCTTCAGTTTGCAGAGTGACTGAGTAAGAGGGGGTTGTCATAGTCCTGATCAGCTGAGCCTGCAGAGACCCACATCTTGGTTGTGGGAGTGAGAACTATCGTGTTTCTTAGTGAAGGGGTGTTAAGCTTTAAGGTTAGTGATGATAATTGGAATGTCAATAGGAACAGTGTAATCAGTGCAGCCTTCAGGCTGCTGCATGATCCTGCTGCTTGCAGTGTTTTGGAGCATAAAGAGAAGAAAGATTTCCTACACTGAGGAGTGTTTCAGCCCAAATTAAAATCACCTTTATCTGTGTGAAATGGTGGAGAACTGGCTGTTCTTTAATATCACCTATCAGGGCAGACCCAGTACCACCTGGTGTCCCAAAATTCTGACCTTTTTTGGAGGCTGAAAGCTTCATCAAATATTCTGTGTTTCCACATTTTCCCATTACCAGTGCCTGCAGGAGCCAGTGGGAGGAACACACAAAAGTCCCAGATGCATCAAAGATTCTGTAGCAGCATAAGATATTTAATAGTATGTATGATATTATTAAATACCTTGAGATACTTAATAAATCTCAGCAATAACATCTAATGCTATATATTTGAGTGCAAAGAGACGTGGCCCTGAGGAAAGAGAATACAGGCAAGGGAAGGCAGACACAGCCCTTTAAATCCGTGGTGCTACCTGCTCTGGGCAATAGGCCAGCAGAAGAGGGTGGGAGAGCAGTGTTGGTGTCCGTGCAGCGGTGTTGCTTGCTGTCTTTGACCACTGTGTCCCCCCTGTGGCCCAGAGCATCACCCGGAAGAGGCGATACGTGGCCACCGTGTCCCTCCACGACCGCATCTACGTCATCGGGGGCTACGACGGCCGCTCCCGGCTCAGCTCCGTGGAGTGCCTGGATTACACGTCGGATGAGGACGGCATCTGGTACTCGGTGGCTCCCATGAACGTGCGGCGAGGGCTGGCGGGAGCCACCACCCTCGGAGGTGCGTCCTGGTGGCTGCCTGGTTGGTGTGTGCAGAGTGGGCTGGCTCTGGGGGAGGAGGGGAGCAGGAGACTCTGCCTTCTCTCGCCGCTGGGGTGCAGAAATGGAACACTCGCCCACGTATCCTGAGAGGAGCTCTGCCTCCGCTGCATTCCCACGGCGTGTGTCTGTGCACCGAGGGAAGGTGGCTCTGGGAGGGATTATGGAGCGGGAAGCTCTGAGGGTGTTGAGTGTTGGGCAAGACTGAGCACAGGGCAGCGAGTACAGCTGTGATCATCCAGCACAGGAGAGACTGGAGCATGTGCAGGGAAGGAGCGAGGGCCTTGGGGAGATGCTGACTTGAGGCTCATGACAGGCAGGGTTTGGGTTTGGGCATGGCAGTCTTCTATTTCACCCAACAGCAAGAAGCAGATGTAAGGGCCAGATGGGTTTTGTGTTTGTTTGTTGGGCCTGTGAGCAGGCTGATGCAGCGAGCCAGGCTGAGGAGCCTGGATTTGTCTTGGCTCGCAGTGTGCCAAGGCCTGTTGTCCTGGGGCTGGCAGTCCCTGCTGTAGTTTTTCTTAGTCTGTGAGAGCCCTCATGTGCCTGGTTGACTCTTGACTCGCTGGGTTCCTCCTCCGTCTGTGATTGCAGACATGATCTACGTTTCGGGTGGGTTCGACGGGAGCCGCCGTCACACCAGCATGGAGCGCTACGACCCCAACATCGACCAGTGGAGCATGCTGGGAGACATGCAGACAGCACGGGAGGGAGCAGGGCTTGTGGTAGCCAATGGAGTGATCTACTGCCTCGGTAGGTACCCCAGGAGCTCTGGGAGTTCTGCAGATCCTGGCTTTTTACCCAAGTGACCGCCCAGGTGCTGCCTGGGGAGCACCAACTTGTCACGCCCGGGTTAGAAGAGGTTTAACCTCACTGCCCTGGGCACTCCCATCACCTGTGTCAGTGAATGCTGCCTGTTCTCACTGTTCCCATCACGATGGCTGGGACTGGAGCTGCCACATTACTGCAGGAAATGCTGCAAGCTGCAAATTATACAGAATTTACACACTACCTTTGAGGGGGGGGCTGAAGTGTGGAGGATGAGCAGAGCAATGCCACCTGAGGCTTGCATGGCCTAAGCAGTGGCTAAATGCCCAGAGATGCAGCAGGTAGCCAAAGGACAGAGGGTGCACCTGCATTACCCAAAACAGTGGTGGCTGTGGTGCTCCAGAAACGTGTCATGAGCTGTGTGTTCTCCAGCTCCTTTCTGCAGCACTCGTTTCAGTTTCAGAGCCCCACACCAGCTGTGAATGCAGTGAGAGTGCCAGAGGGCAAAGCACTCTGGAAGTTGTTCTGTAGGTCACCTTCTGTGCACCAGAAAAGGCAGACCCAGCGTTGCACCCACATCTGTTGCAGTCCTGTTCCTGGGGAGTCACAGATTTCCTGCACCAGACAGATTGCAGAGCTGGCTGCAGGAGCCTCTGCCTGGCTTGTGTGAGCTGTGCTGATGGCAGCACCACATTCTCAGCCCCGGGGTTTGCTCCTGTGCTTTTCTTTCAGGTGGCTATGATGGGCTGAACATCCTGAATTCTGTAGAGAGGTATGACCCCCACACTGGACACTGGACAAACGTCACCCCGATGGCCACCAAGCGCTCAGGTGAGAGCCCTTGAGTCACTGTGTTTCCTGCTGCACTGAGGTGGCTGTCACTGCTGGTGTGTTCTGCTGCCCTGCAGGATGCTCTGGGCTCAGTGGGTGGCTTGGCTTTGAGAAGGAACGGTTTTAGGTGCGGAATTCCCAAAACAAATTCTAATCTTCACAGCCTGAGGCTTCCATCCCATGCTAAGGTGTGTGTAGGTATGTGGGGAGGGGGTTATAGGTTACAGGGAAGGAGAGGAAGTCCTGTGTGACTTCCAAAACTAGAAACAGTACTTGGCTTGGAGAAGAGCCCACAAGGCACAGACTGTAGTATGAGATCAGTGCTCCTCAGCTGCACAGAACAGGGTGAAGGCAGGAGTGCCCTGTCAGGCTGCTCCTTCACCTCCACTCTGCTCTGGGACATGCAAGGCCTCAGCTCCTGGTGCAGCAGGAACACAGAGCAGCACTGCCAGAGCAGTGTTACCCTCCAGTGGTGTTGACTGGAAACAAGGTGCAGTCACCCAGTAATTATCCCCCACCAACTCTTCACTTGTCTCTCCTGCTTGGAGTTCTATCCGACCTTTAGGTTGGCAGTTGTATCTAGGAGATAAATATAGTTTAAATCCTACTTTTGGAATATCTTTCTGTCTAAGCTCTCCTTCATTTCTCAGAGGAGTTCCAGAGGGGTTCCTGCAGCTCCTGTGTGCTCAGATCCTGGCTCTCTGCTCTCACCCTGTGCCTCAGGCCTCCTGCTCTGCCCTCCATGCCATGCTGGCGAGCAGCCCTGGCCCTGCACAGCCCTGGGCAGGATGCTCAGTGCCTCCACAGCCGGGTAGTTCCCAGTGTGGTAGTTCTGTGCTTACAGCCCCTCTTTCAAATCCCTTTTTGAAGTTACTTTTTTCTCTGCTGCTTTCAGTAACTGCCCCTCGCAGTCAGCCTGGGCAGCCCTGGCTCCACGTGATCTCTGTGCAGTGTTCCTGCTTAGGGACAAGTGCTGGGTGCTCACTAAAGCTGGGCTCTGCTCCAGAAACATCTCAGCTTCCTTGTGCCTGCAGTGGCATTCACCAAAACCCCAAGCTTTAAATATTTACTCCTGTGACAGGGCTATTCCTGTTAAGTGTGGGTTTATCTGCCAAGAACGGTTTTGATTTAGGAGTTGGGTGCTTTTCCACATCCCAGGAAGACCCCACATAAAACATGGGATAAAATCCACAGATTTTCTGGCATCGGAGGCACCGTGTGAGACCGACCCACAGATCTCTAGGAAGCTTGAGGATGAGATGGCTTTCCCCCAGAGAAGATTGGCTTTGTGCAAGACCAAAAGCAGAGTTCAAGGGAAAAAGCCTTCCACAATAGGCATTTCCCAGGTCCATGCTCGCTTCCCACAGGATTTGGAGCTTTGGCAGCAGTGCCTTGGCCTGCAGCATGAGCTCCACGACCGAGCAGGAACATGGGGAGGCCCTTGACCCCAGCACTGGCTCAACTGGTTCCTTCCTTGGTGCTGTCACCTGGAGCACCAAGATCTCTGAAATGGGAGATTTTTTGGCCCACAGAACCCTTTTTGGCCCAGGTTTTTGTGTTTGCACTCTGGAACTAACACTCCTAACTACTGGTAGCTTAGGTACTAGCTGTACTTGCAATCTTCATCCTAATATCAGGTCAGTCCATCCTGGTGACCTTGGACCCTGTAAGACTTCTTTTGCCCCCAGAAAAAACTTTCCAGTGTGCAGGTCTTTGAATTCCAAAACCAGGACTAAAAGTAATCTTGGCTGTGTGACTCTCCCGACTGTGGCCAGGAGCTGGGTGATACCAGGGAGCCAGGAACACCAGAGGAACCTGTGTCTGTGCTGATAGTCCCAGCTGGCTGCCTGCCAGCCAGCAGAGCGAGCCTGGTGCTGCTCTGTTCACACACCTGTGTCAGGTGTCAACTTCTCGTGCTGCTGTGCTGCCCAGTGCTCCCATGGCAGAGAGTCAGCAGTGTTTGGTGGACAACAGAAGACACGGTTATCAGCTCTTTTAGGGGAGAGATGAGCGTAACAAAATGTCCTGTGAAGAGGGAGGAGCTGACCAGCTGACCACTCAGCCCCGGAACAGCGAGCCCTGGCCACGGTGCCGCCGGTGTGGTTCCTGGGCGTGACTGTTATCACCACCTCTCTCCCCAGGGGCTGGAGTGGCTCTGCTCAACGACCACATTTACGTGGTGGGGGGGTTCGACGGGACGGCGCATCTGTCCTCGGTGGAGGCCTACAACATCCGCACCGATTCCTGGACAACGGTAACGAGCATGACCACACCCCGGTGCTACGTGGGGGCCACGGTGCTGCGGGGCCGGCTGTACGCCATCGCCGGGTAAGCGCTGCACGGGCCCGGCCTGCAGCTCTGGGCGCTGGAACAGGGGTGCTGAGGGGACACAGAGGCTGCCCCATCGCAGCTGGGCGGCTCCTCACACTGAGATGTGGCCCTCAGGGTCACCCTGCCCGCCCAGGGCCCAGGCAGAGGCGGCCTCATGCAAGGCCGTTCCTGCTGCCCAGTCTCTCTGAATGCCTCAGCCTCTCCCTCCGACGCCGCCCTTCACCTGTAACTTTCTGTCCCGGCAGGTACGATGGCAACTCACTGCTGAGCAGCATCGAGTGCTACGATCCCATCATTGACAGCTGGGAAGTGGTCACCTCCCTGGGGATGCAGCGCTGCGACGCGGGAGTCTGCGTCCTGCGGGAGAAGTGATCGGGAGGGAGCTCGCAAAGAGGAACACTCTAAAAAAGTCTCGGCTGGAGAAAGAGTCCCAAGTGATTTGCAGTGACTGCTCCTGGGAGTTGTGGATGCTGTGGGAATAGGCACCAGAAGAGCAGCTTTCTGTGCTGCTTGTGACTAGAGCATGTGCATAACCGTGTGATCTCAGCAGTCATTTGAAATCGGGGGCTCTGTGGGAAGCTGGACGAAGGGGGTGAGTGGGTCATGAGAAGCTGCACTCTCTGCTGTTCCTGTGGCTCAGTCTATGGGCAGAGCAGAGATGCCCCAGCCTGGCCTCAGCCAGCCTGGTGAACCCTCCCAAGGACATGTACATACCACTGGGTCACCTCTCCAGCCGCCGCAGGACCCCGCGGGCCCTCGGGTTGCTCTCAGCCACGTGGATGTGGGAGGGTGAATCCGGCTGCTCTTGTGTTCCAGCTTCAAATCATCATGTACATACTGAATGTTCAAACGTGCTCCTCGAGCACACGTGGGTGCAGAGCCAGATTGGGTGAGCGTGTGTGAGGGGGGGCCTGCAGTGTCGCTGTGTCCGCAGGTTCCTCCCAGGGCTGCACACAAAAGGAGTCGCAGGTTAAAGCTGTCAACTACTGAGACCCAGAAGCCGAGGCTGCAGGGGCAGAGGGCAGGGGGAAAGCTCACTGCCTGCTGCAGAGGCAGGGCTGTGGTGTTTGTGCTCTTGATCAGGTGCTCGGCAAGGTTCTTCACGTGGCACTTCCCTCACAAAGCTTGAGAGCCCCAGCTGCAAAGCGCCGCCATCCGTGAGCCCTGCTGTGCCGCGGCCGTGCCTTTGCTCCCACCCTGCAGGGACGTCACCCGAGCTGAGGCCACCAGAGCAGGGACACGGTGGCTGCTGCCCACCAAGGTCTTGCCGGAGAGTGACTGGGGTTCATCCCCGGAGTCCAGCACACCCACTGCAGCCTTTCACTCAAGTTCATTGTGTTGGTTTTCCTTTCATCCAGGATTTTCCTGCTTCCAGGGCCGTTCTGGAGTAGCATCCAGGATTCCGTTCTGCCCTTTGTTCTCAGCTGTTCACTTCCCTGCCCACATCCTCTGACACCTGCTATCCCTCGCCTGCCCCACGAGCCCTCGCTGGCTCTCAGCATGTGTCCTGCCTCGCTGCGTTCTGGGAGCACGGGCTCCCCTCTGCCATCAGCTTGGCCCCACAGTGCCTGGGCTCTGTGTAGTGCTGCTCGTTGAGCTTCCTGCTGACTCCTTGCTTGGGGACAGGGTGGGATCAGGGACGTGGTAGCATGACTTAATTATGCACTTTCAGCCAACGCTCTGAACCTTCTGCGTTTGTTTCTATCACACAAGTGTTCTGTGGTTTTGTTTCCTATGTTTATTTTCTAATGAAAGTATAAAGAATAAAATATTTCCTGAGCCAGTGGGAGTTCAGCTTCTGTTCTCTACCTTCCAGACCTTCATCTAACCACCGTGTGGAGGGTTTGTGCTGGCACAAGTCACAGGGGAATGGGGTTACGTCTGCAATCTACACTCAACCCCCAGCTCGTGGCAGGACTGCCTGGGCTGGAGCCTGAGGTGAGCAGCTGGATTGCTGATGAAATCCTGTACCTTTATGTAGTACTTGAGCATCAGTTCCCATTTCTGGCTTCTCCTGAGAGTTCTTGGCAGCAGACAGTGAGGAGACAGCGAGGCAGCAGGAGGATGGTGCATGTTTACACTAAATGGGCAGGAAAAAAACAAGAATCAGAGCTCTTCTGGGATCTGGTTTACTCCCTAAAGAAGCAGTGGCTCAATCAAAAGGTTTCTTTCAGTCTTTTCAACCATGCTAACAACACTGGGCCGTTAGCAGCAGGTACCCAGACCAGCACACAGCCACAGGGGCTCAGAGGTGCTCAGTGAAGAGCAGCAGAGTCACCTGAGCCCCAGGGCCTCTCCAGCACCGGCACTGCCTCCTGCCTTGCCCGGGCTCTTTGGGGTCGGGCTGGTCTCTGCTTCCCTCTCCTGGGAAACACATTTTTCCAGTGTCAGCCCCCTGCCCCTTTCAGTGCACTCTGTGCACCCCAGTTCGGAGGGGGGTCTCTTTGTACCAAGCAGCCACGTGAGCTGCTGTTTGCAGCAGCAGCAGAGTGTACCCAGGCTCTCCTGAACACTGATGCAACAACTGCACTCAAAATATGTGCAGCAGCTTCATAGAATCCCAGAAATGGGTGAGGTTGGAAGAGACCACAGCAGGTCATCTGGCCCTACCTCCCCCGAGCAGGGTCATCCCAGAGGGCACAGCACAGGATTGTGTCCAGACAGCTCTGGAATATCTCCAGTGAGGGAGACTTTAAAGGGAGACGATTTCCTTTTGCCCAGCATCAACTGAACTCCTTCTTCAACCTCTGTGACAAGGTGGAGTGTCTCCAGACTCCCATGTCCGGTAAATGACGGTCCCTGATGGTCCCCGCGGGCCTGCACACGACAGACAGACAGACAGACAGGCAGACAGACCCTCGCTGCCAGCTGGTGGCACATCCCGGAATCACGTCGGGGGAGGGAATCAGAGAATCCCAGACTGGTTTGGGTGGGAAAGGACCTTGAATCTCATCCCCTTCCACGGGCAGGGACAATTCCACCGGCCCAGCTCACTCCCAGCACCCTGGACACTCCCAGGGATGGAGGAGCCGGGTGGGACCCCCCGGCACCGCCCCAGGGGCGGGGGGGGGGCAGGGCCGTGACGTCAGCGTGGCCCGGGGCGTGACGTCACAAGCCCTGCACAGCCCGATGGGGCGGGGCCGCGTCCGTGACGTCAGCGGAGTGCGTTGCCTGACGTCATCGCCCCGCCCCGCCCCTCGGCCATGGCGGCGCCCTGCGCGGAGATGGAGCCGGCGGCGCCTCCTCCCTCCCCTCCTGCCGCTCCCGCTCCCGATGCCGCTCCCGCCTCGCCGGGCTCGGCCGGGCTCGTGTGCGCGCAGGGCCGCAACCTGCGGGCCGTTCTGTGCCAGCGCTGCGGCTCCCGGGTGCTGCTGCCCGGCGCCGCCACCCTCGCCCGCCGTGAGGTACCGGGGGGGGGGATCCTGAGGGGAGCGGGGGGGGCGGGCGGTGCCGGGCGGGCGGTGACGGCCCCGTGGTGTCTCCGCAGCTCCTCCTGCCCGCCATGAGGAAGAAGGCGGCGGCGGCGGCGGCGGGAGGCGGCGGGGACGTGCTGCGGGAGCACTGGCTGGTGCGCGACATGTTCTCCTTCGAGAACGTGGGCTTCACCCGCGACGTGGGCAACGTGAAGTTCCTGGTGTGCGCCGACTGCGAGGCGGGGCCCATCGGCTGGCACTGCCTGGACGACAAGGACAGCTTCTACGTGGCGCTGGAGCGCGTGGCCCACGAGTGACCGCGGCCCCGGGCGCCGGGCTGGCAGCTGGGCTCGGCCGCCAGGAGCCCCGACAGCCCTGAGAGCCACAGCCCGGCCGGGCACCCCGGTGTCTGACTGACCTACACCCTGGCCGGGCACCCCGGTGTCTGACTGATCTACACCTCGGCTGGGCACCCCACTGTCTGACTGACCACAGCCCACCTGCCCCGTGGTGTGACTGACCCACGGCCTGGCCGGTCACCTCACGTGCCAGGGCCACAGGCTGAGCAGCACCAGGAGGCTCAGCCCTGGCACAGCCAGCTCCTCTCCCACGCAGGAGGGATGGTGGTGGTGGGAGGGTCCCCTGTGACCTGCAGGGACGTCTCACCGTGACAGTTTTGCCAAATAACCCGATCTGCCGCTGTCTGCTCTGTCACTTCCCTCGTGGCTGCTGTTGCTCCAAGGTGCTGAGATGTCTCTCAGGCTGCTGTGTAAATGTGGGCACGGGGAAGGGGCGAGGGGAGGACGCGACTGCTGCTCTGAGTCGTCGTGGCAGCTAAAATTGCCTGACCTACAGCCAGAGCAGCTCCAGGGTTTAAGGCTGAATCTCCTGCTGATTTGCAGAGGGAACATTCCCTGCCCCAAGTCCTAACATTTACATTCTCCAGAATCTCATCCCACCTGGCAGCTGTGAGAGTGAAGTGAGTGTAAGGCATTCCAGCTAACATGTGTGCAGTTCCATTAACTGAGTACCTGGAAACCAAACACAGTACAGGTAAAGCGGCTGAGAGAGCAGCAAATAGAGAAAATGTGCCAGATCATAGTGTTTTCAGGCAGCAAGAGTGAAAAGATTCCAGCCTGAAAAGGATCTGAATCATTGGACAGGCAGTGTGCCAGTGCTGAAGCATGTCAGAGTAGCCACTTGTATATGTGTTAAAGAAGTCAGGAAGGAGTTTCTCTTCTGTAAATGCACCTGGGAAGAGCAATCTGGTATATTTGACCAGATTGGGTCTCTGCCTTTTCAAAGCAGCGCACAAAGCTGATTGAAAGTGCAAGGAGGCTGCAGCAGTTTATTATGGCCCAGTTCATTCTCCACTGCAAACTGCAGATTGAGTGACAGAGCAGCTCTCCAGGGGTGCTCTGGGGTCCCTGGTGCTGTGTCTCTGCTCATGAACACTTGGGTACCAACCCAGCTGGGAAGGCGCAGCTGTCACTGTGCTGGGATGATGGAGTTGTTTGGGCCACCAAACTCAAGGTGGGTTTTACCTGCAGATTAAGGATTTTGCTGCCTCCAGGCTGTGGGAGGGACCTTTCCCTCACTCCTCTAATGAAGCAGTTTTGCTGGCAGGAGTCTCTAAGGCAGGCACAGCCTTGGGCAAGGCTCCCAGAAAGGCCTCCTGAGGGTGGGAGAGGGAGAAATGAGTCCCTTCTCTTTGCAGGGCTTGAGCACCTGCACTTTTAAGATTTGGGGACTCTGCCTTAATGTAGAACAGTCAAGGTGCTGGCTCTCCTGGCTCTGTTCCATCAGGAACTTTTGCTGTGGGCAGTCAGGATTTTTCAGAGGAGGGAGAGGAGCAGAACTGGGGGCTGAGGCTCCTGCTGGAGCAGGAGGCCAATCCCATGCTGTGCCCTTGTTAAATGTGTCAGATGCACATTTGACATCAAAACTGCTGCTTCCCTCCTGCCCTTCCTGTCTCTTGGTCCTCAGCCCAGCGACTCAACAGGTTCATCAAGGAGATGTACCTCAAAAGGCAGGAGAGCTTCGCTGGGGTTCTGCACAGGCACAGCAAAATGGTGGGATCATGTCACTAATTTCACACTTTCACTTAGATT